TAGCAGAGTTAAGCACAGGAGAAGTTCTCCTCTATGGGAAGACTACAAAAAGGCATTGCAGGAGTACAAAATGGAGATTAGAAAGACCTCCAGAGAATCCTGGAGGTACTTCTGTCAGTCCATAAACGACATTCCTGCTACTGCGAGAATACGCAGGGTCCAAAGCAAAGACATTAAAGCAAGATTGGGATCTCTGCATGATTCCTCGGGGGGGGGGGAATACTACTTCTGAGGAAGGTACTCTGGGGCTTCTGATGGATACGCACTTTCCCGGTTCCACAGTAGCGCGATCAATCACAGAATGCATGCAGTTGCGCAGGCCCTCAGGGGAGGACTGGCACACGGCTAGGGAGATTGTCACCTTCGAAAGGACGGTATGGGCAGTAGATTCGTTTGCTCCATACAAAAGTGTAGGTCTGGACGGCGTGTTTCCGGCTATGTTATAGCAGGGACGGAGTTCGGTTGTTCCTCACCTGTTGAATGTGTTTCGAGCATGTGTGGCCACGGGCTTCACACCTAGAAGCTGGCGGCAGGCTAAAGTGGTATTCATTCCTAAACCGGGCAGAGCTAGATATACTGGACCGAAGGATTTTCGTCCGATTACTCTTTCATCTTTTGTGCTTAAGACACTGGAAAGGATAGTTGATAGATACTTAAGGGATGGCCCGCTGGAAAGGTGTGTCATTCATGCAAATCAGTTTGCATACCAAGCTGAAAAATCGACACAATCTGGTCGGTAGGCAGGAGAAAAGAGTCTAGATCAGCGAGAAGTGGCACTTGTGGCCTTTTTGGACATTGAAGGTGCATTTAGTTGCACCGCAATCGACTCTATCAGACATGCCTTGGTTAGACACGGGGTTGGACCAATCCTAATAGATTGGGTCCTATCTACTCTGGAGGGTCGGGTAGCAACAGCTATGCTTAATGACGTAAGCTGCAGTTTGAGCGTAGCTAGAGGCTGCCCTCAGCGCGGAGTTCTGTCACCCCTACTGTGGTGTATCGTGGTGAACGAACTCCTCGTGAAATTCAACAGTATGGGTGTCTACGTGCAAGCTTATGACGTAAGCATAGTAGTTAGGGGGCTTTTGTAGAACAGTCTCGGAGATTATGCAGGGCGATCTGCGGTCTGTGGAATCGTGGTGTAGGGAAGTCGATCTTTCTATTAATGCTGAAAAGACCGAGCTGATCCTATTCACTAGGAGAAGAAGGCTTGACGGGCTGGTCTTGCCGACCTTCATTGGGTCTAGACTAATATTGTCCCAGTCAGTGAAATATCTGGGAATTATCCTGGATTGCAAACTGAACTGGAGAGAGCATGTTGAATATAAGGTTATTAAGGCTCGCAATTCGATGTGGGCCTGTAGACGAGTTGTCGGTGTAAGGTGGAAGCTTAAACCAACGTGATATACTGGCTCTACACGACGATAGTACGTCCATCTCTCTTGTACGGCTCCCTGGTCTGGTGGCCTTGCATTAGAACTGAGACAACTAAGGCCAAACTCAATAAAATTCAGCATTTGGCCTGTATTAGTATTACAAGCCCAGTGCGAACAACGCCATTGAATGCAATGGAAGCTCTGTTGGATTTCCCACCGTTGGATCTGGTGATCCGCGGTGACCCTGTCCTTCTAAACAGGGGTGATCGTATTACCCCTAAATATCGCTTCAACCGCAAGTTTATTGTGGAGTATCCAACGAGGGAGGAGTAGGACGCCAGTAGCCGGGGACTCTCCGGAGTGAGCGGGCAGGTCTGGTACACAGACGGCTCGGTCACCGAAGAGGGCTCAGGTGCTGGGGTCTCTGGGCCTAGAACTAGGCTATCTCTGCCTCTCGGTAGATACACCACTATTTTCCAGGCGGAAATCTTTGCGATTCTGGCTTGTGTATCTCACATTCTGGAGGAGGGTGGGCTCAGGAGAAGAATAACAATCTTATCCGACAGCCAGGCTGCAATGAAAGCACTAAGTGCCTGTAAGATTACTTCGAGTCTTGTATTGCAATGCAGGGAGGCTCTGGATTGACTCGCAGCGAGGAATCCGGTATTATTAATAAGGGTACCTGGGCACGCTGGGATAAGGCGCAATGAGACGGCGGACACTCTGGCGAAGACAGGATCAGCCAGCAAGCTCGTTGGTCCTGAGCCAGCTCTAGGAATGTCCGCTTATAAAGCTAGGGGGAAAATGGAGACGTGGGTTGCAAGACAACACTCTCAGAAATGGAGTAGTATCTTCAGACATCTCCGCCAGGCACGGGAACTCATTGAAGGGCCCAGTGCTAAGGATGGACGCTTCTGCCTATCTCTGGATAGAGCCAACCTAAGGTTGCTGGTGGGACTGTTGTCTGGCCATAACACGTTAAGGCGTGACCTGCACGTGATGGGGGTGGCTGAGGATCCCTTGTGTGAACGCTGCGGGGTAGAGGAAGAGACCTCGGCGCACGTTTTGTGTCGCTGTGAAGCTCTGAGCTACTCTAGACAGACTATACTGGGGTTCATTACTTTGGACCCTCAGGACGTCAAGGAGCTTGGACTCAAGGCGATTCTCAACTTCGCTAAAAGGGCGAGGCTTGTGATCTAAGGATTGTAGAGGTGCATAAGAGCCCGCGGGACTGGTTCCTTATGGTGGCCGGAATGCCTCTAATTTTAAGATTCATTCATTCATTCAACCTATGCTCCCAACCCGTCCTAGGACTACGTCACCTTCTTTTATTTCAATTGAGTGGATTAGCAATGCTTCTGACTTTGTCTTCAGCCATTCTTTGCACGCATCCCAGCATTTATAGTCGCTCTTTGAACATTTCTTCCAACTTGGCATTTGCTTATCACCTAGCATTTAGACACTAAAAGCCGCCTTCCGTTCTCATATCTCCAGCTTTGCATGCTCTGCTCTTGTTGTCGTATATGTTTTGCATATGTACGTGTCCACTGACCTTATCAGCCCTTTGTAGACCCTGATTTCAGCACCCCTGGGTATAACTGCTTCTCAGTTCTCATTTCAGCGCATAACATATACGACCCAATTTCCAGACAATATCCTTTTTTGTATCGTCTTCTTGTTATCCGGAGCACTTGATACAGAGTGGGCCATTTAAAGTGGAAGCATCAAGCAACCCTATATCTTTGACATTAGTTGACAGATCGACTAATACCATACCGCGTTGGAAGCGTCATTTCAGTACAGTTTTAAGCATGGAACAGCACACACCAAAACAACGCGCTGAAATTATTCAGTTGTACATTCAAAATAATTACTCAATCGTGTAAACTAAACGTGCGTTTCGTAAAAAATAAAGTTAAAAGTGCTCCAGCTGATAACACTATCAGACGTTTATACGCAAAATTTGTACACCGGTAGTCTTAGTAATGCCAGTCACCTGTCCAGACAACGAACAAGTCGTTCCGATGAAAATATCGAAGCCGTTCGAGCCAGTGTTGAAGAGACTCCATCAACATCCGGTCGTCATCGTTCTCAAGAGTTAGGCATCGCTCTAACCACTCTCCGACGCATAATTCGTGAGGATTTGAAGATTTTTCCATACAAAATTCAAATGGCTCATCAATTGAACCCAGCTGATTATCCGTGTCGCTTTGATTTTGCTGAATGGAGCATTGAAATGGCCGAAAATGAAGATAACTTTTGGCGAAAAATCATCATGTCCGACACGGCACATTTTTCGTTACGTGGAGGCGTAAGTAAACAAAATTGTTGGTTTTATGCTACCGAAAACCCTCAATTAATCGAACAGCAGCCTCTTTGTGAACAAAAAGTTACTATTTGGTGCGGTGTGTCCGCAAATATGGTCATCGAGCCGTATTTTCTTTTGAAGACGATGATGGAGCTGCAGTAACCATCAATGTTGAGCGCTTTCGAGCCATGATTTTTTGAGGTTAACTGTTTGTGAAATTGACATGGATGATTACAGGTTCCAGCAGGACGGCGCCACGTGCCACACAGCTCAAGTAACAATCAATTTATTGCGACAATTGTTCCCTGGACGACTGATATCGAAAAATGGCGATTTTGACTGGCCACCAAGATCACCTGATTTGACACCACCTGACTTTTATTTGTGGGGCCATTTGGAATCCAAGAAATTGCCGCCATATCCGCCGAAGCATTGGCCAGCGTGATGGAAAACGCCGAAAAAAGGGCGCATTTGATTATTACGGCCTTGTAATCATTTCTGCTATTTCTGCTGTTATATAATCACTTCCAAGGCTTTTTTTCGTTCTTCGGGCTGCGTATTTTGTTCTTAACTACGGATATCTCTACGTTCTGTATTATTTTATTTCGCCCTTCATCGTATATAAGTACAATGAAGATTTTCAAGATTCTCAGTTTCAGCGTTGCAGTTACAAAATATTCAGGAATTTTATGTCCTATCTCCGTTTAATATTCTCATCACTTGCGACTTCCTCAAAGTCACGTTCCACGAGAAATCCGGAACGCTAATAGTACGAAACTCCCAGAGACTGTGCAAGTTTTCCCGATAAAGATATAAATGACTTTATTAGCAATTCGCAGCGAAGCTGAAATTTCATGTTCTCATAACACTCGTATTTGCCAGTGGTGGAAGATTCATCTTTGAATACAGTGTAAGCTTTTATTCGAAGCTGTATATCATCGGTTGAACGCTGTTTCCAAAACTGGTGCTTGGTCAGACTTGTAGGTATGCAGGGTTACAGAATTAGTTAAACTGCAATTTATCTATTGTACAATTGGGGAAATATTTACATGACATACTTGTACAATCTGACTTTACACGCATTTTTTGTATTATATTATGGTTTTATACAAGTATAATCAACGGCTTCCATTACAATTTATTATTGTTTCTGCCGCTTTTCTAGCATATTTATATTGGGACTTGATTTGAACATGTTAATCTCATCACAATAAAGGATTGAAACGAACTAACTAGGTACCTCTCACACTGATCTACACCCGATTTTCTGAATAGCCAGCATTCCTGGAAACTGTTTCCATTTTCTCATTTTGTAGACGTATTGTTTCGAACCTCTACATCTCTCAGTCAAAAGGAGAAGAGCAAGAAGCGTAATTGCGAATAATCAATGGAAGCAGGTCGTCGATGCCGTCTGCAGTATAGATCATGTTCTATTATACCGCCGATATTATCCAATGACAGAATTCCAAGCAAAGAAATCGTATTGAAAATATACTTTTTGATTAATAAATAAAACCGGAGGGTTCTGAAGAGGGGCTAGATTCTAGTAAATATGTAAGTATATATCGTACATCTTTGAAGGTGCTACGATCTAATGTATAGTTTACACAGTTATTAGTTTAATGCATAGTTATAATAATGGATCTCATGTACAGTACAAGCAAGGTTAAAAATTGCTTCAAGATAAACTAGGTCCAAAATACGTCCCGAGGTCTTGAAATTTTTTTCATTATTTTAGTATCTATATTGTTTTTTAAAAGACCGAAGTTTGAAAGTTTGGAATTTTTGTCAAAAATTCAACCATTTTCTGATATTTGGTCGCAACACTTTCTAATCTATTATTGATCCCACTGAGACTCCAAGCACATATGCATTGATACTAGAAATAAAAGTTGTCTAGTCATTACCGTGTATTGATTTGTTTCAACTGTTGTTTTTAATAAATATGACGCAGTGGAGCAACACTTTTATTTTAATATATACTTTGTATTTCTGTGTTTTATTATAAGTATGAATGAGACAGTGTCTCGATCATTCGCTGACATGAAAATACTAAGGCAAATATAAATTGGTGAATTTTGACAAACATTTTGAACCACGGAAAATGTTAATGGCTTTTTAAAATGAATATTCTTAAATATTGAAATGCATATTTCTAATACATGACACCAACGTGGAATTCGAGTTATTTTCTTATAGACCTTCATCGTTTTGTTAGTTCTCGTGTATAGACAAAATGCTAACATTGAGACTGTTTCGAATTATAAAAATAGAAACACCTTCTTTTGCCTATTCAATGTCAGTCGCTACAAGTACTTCATTGTTGTGAACGTTTCTATACTGCTTTGTCCCACTATGAAGCGTTGGCTAAAGGATTTTTGGAAAAAACGCTACCGAAAATACAATTACGAGCAAAATAATTCCCGGCGTGCTTGCATTAACACATTCACCACATTGAAATCTATGTCACGTAGTAAATTGAAAATCCATCAAAAAGCACACATCTTTCACTCAGTCCGTTGATGCTGGCTGCCTATTGTGACTGACGGGTGCGTTTTTGTTCCATAAATTGTAATTTGAATTTATGTCACACATCGGGCCACTTTAAGCGTCCTTCATTCACTTTTGTTCAATTGCATTTTATATTTCTCCTTTCAAATCCAACGCTTTGGAAAGGACCAGAACCCATCAGCCCCGCCCCAATCTTTTCTTATCCATTTGCGAAATCATTTCACTAACATAGTTTTTTCTTTTCCAGGACAATACGCCAATCACTACACCAGTCACTATGCCGAGCGACCGAATAACCGTAAGTGTACTTTCTCTGAATACATGGTGTTCCAAAAGTCATGGATTACACGAGGGGTGGTAGGGGGGATCATTCCAATTAGTAAAACCATTTATGATCTTATCTGATTCATTCAAGTCATCGTTGGTTGTCAGAGCGGTCCGTTGGACCTTAGCTCTTGAGTCACAGTGTCAGTTTGTAAGTCTGTCAGGTCTGGTAACCCAGAAGCCAGTCAATTTTGAGGAAAAAAGGTAAGAAAATGAGAGAAAAAAGAACGAGAGCAAAGGGGAAGAAGAGAATCTTTTAGGATAGGCAGCGTTTAGGCATCGTTAAAATCACTTCACTGATTTTGATATGGTCTAAAAATATTCGATTTTTTCTAAAGATTTTGTCAAAATGCTCCAATTTTGGTTGTTCTAAGTTCACGAGTTAATTTTGATTACAGTGCGAGCCGCGACCTTTTGTGCTTGCGAACTTGCTCGACTGTGTAGTCCACTGACTCACGCAAAAGAGGGTTGCTATGCGATTCCGCTGGGCTATAGCACCGCTGCGCCTGTTGCTTAATGTAGTCCTTTAGGTAAGAGACACTGAGGTCTCTATGTAGAGTTTCGTTAGAGACCTACCATGGGGATCAGCAATAGTGCGCAACGTCCTGCTTTGCAGAACCTGCAGATTTCGCATGTGTGTTTTAGCAATAAAACACCAAGCCGCACATGCGTAAGTCATTGCTGGTCTTATGACCACCTTATATAGTCGAATCTTGATAATCAAACTTAATTTTGAACGTTTGCATAATAATGGGTAAAGCTGTCGAAACGTAATTTGGAATTTAGTTTTTAGCGCTTCTATATGGTTCCGCCAAGTCATCCCTTTGTCCAGAATGACACCGAGATACTTAGCGGATGATTCCCATGGTATACGAAGTCGATTCATTGAAACTTCAGACGGAACGCCGTGACGTCTTTTTGTACAGTAGATTGCCTGCGTTTTCGAATGGTTTATTTTAATTAGCTATCTTATCCGATTTTGCACGATTCAGAAGAATTTCTAGCTACTTTCGAAAATATACCTTTTTCAGCTTACAGGATATGTTGCCAAATAATTTTTGGCTGAGAAGAAGCTATTATTGAAAGATTAGTCTAGTTAGTATCTAGAAATTGGCTCAAACGTAATTTTTTCTGGTGTCAAAAATATTACAGCATATAATTAGAAAAAACTTCGGGGTGTTATGGCAAAATACCTTTTCAGTAATCAAATATTCTGAATGATTTATGCGCAACATAGGCAAAATACTGTAGGTACCCTTAATCTAAGGGCATTCTGTATGTGTGCCTAACTGATTATAGTGCACATAAAATTTTCGTGACTTCTTATGTTAGGGTGAGAATGAGTTTCTGCCTTTATACATACAGCTTTATTCCGATAAGTTTACAAGTATGACCAGACATGGGACTAAAGTTTTTCTTTGATATATCATCAACAATAATCTTCAATCAACTTTCAACTCGGTAATGGACCTTCCGAATCTGAGGTAAACGTAAGATGGAAATGCTTACTCAGGAGTAAAAATATCTCTCCATCACTGTTAAAAGTTTTGTGATCGGAAGGCAATAAGCCAAACCAAACTTTTAGTGTAAATCCCGAGTTTTGAAGCCATTCCATTTAGGTTTTGCTAACAACAGAAAAAGTATCAGTAGAAGAAATCTTGACCAACATCTAGACGTACCTGCCACCTTATCCGATGCGTAGTTAAATCCTACTCAGCTAAGAGGTTTCAGTAATTTGTGCAGCGTCCTTTTCTTGGTTAATTCATGATGCGTCATTCGAGTGCCACGTGAATGTTATATTATGAAACTGGAATACTTGTTCAACGAAAACTGTCCAACCTCTACATCTCGCAGCTAGAACTAATCAAGAAATTAATATATGCTGGACTCCAGATTAGCAACCCTGTCTTGCTTTAGTAACGGGGTTTTTTTTTTCGAGGTATAGAACTTTAAGTTGCCATTACTTTTGAAAATGGCTACCGATTTGACAGCCGTTGAGTGATTTATTCTCAGTTTGGTTTGGCAATTCATCATGAATAGACACATGCCTGAACAACGCTTGCAAATTATACAGTTTTATTTCGAAAATAATGGTTCTGTGCTGAATACGTCCATTTTATCGTCGACAAAATCGTCCATCAGAGCAGTTAATTCGATTAACCATGGAACGTTTTCGCACCACGTTTACTCTAGTTGATAACTCGCATCTCCAGAGACGCCGTACAGTGCGTACAGAAGAAGCTAATGCTACTGTAGAGCGTAGCATTGAGGAAGACCCGAATGAGTCCATCCGCCATCGAGCACAGGAATTGGATCTGTGTCCATCCACTTTATGGAAGATTTTGTGGAAGAATCTTGGTTTGTGTGATTTCAAAAATCAACTCGTGCAAGAATTAAAGCCAAACGATCATCAAACAAGGCGTAGATTCGTTGAATGGCCCCAAAACGAGATTGCCGATTTTCATAAGCGAATTTTGTTTAGCGATGAAGCGCACTTCTGGTTGAATGAATACGTCAACAAACAAAACTGCCTCATTTGGAGTGAACCTAATCCTCAAGTCTATGTCGATACACCGTTACATCCTGAAAAACTGACGGTTTGGTGCGCTTTATGGGCTGGTGGAATCATTGGTCCGTACTTCTTCAAAAACGATGATGGCCAGAACGTTACAGTCAATGGTGATCGGTATACAGCCATGATTACTAACTTTTTCATTCCCGAATTGAACTCCAGGAGCTGTGGTACCAACAAGACTGCGCAACATGTCACACAGCTCGTGCTACAATCGATTTATTGAAAGACACGTTTGGTGACCACCTAATTTCACGTTTTGGACCTGTGAATTGGCCTCCAAGATCTTGTGATTTAACACCGCTAGACTATTTTCTGTGGTATATCATGGTTTCCTTTTGTACATTTATTGTAAACTGAACTGATTATTCAAGCAACTTTCTTACGTTTTTCATATCCAAAATGCACGTTACGTGTTCAACTTGAATTATATTCAGTAAATACGTGAGCAAAGTTAGGCAGCAATCTAATAAACATAAGGTGTACATTTGATCCATAACAGATATTTTTCGTCACGAATCTACCATTACAGCACTTAGTATATGTTTCACTTTACCTACGTGAACTGAATTTATGTCAATAAATTTTCAAACTGCTCATTACCTTATAACTACAATTTTTCATTTTAATGTGACTTTAGCACGAAACAATAAATGTGTAAAAAGACTGCGATAAGGAGTAATTCTAAACTGGTGCTACATTAGTTTTATTTGAATATCTAAATCCTAATACTGTCATTATGAATAAAATGATATATTTTACTTACTTAAGCAATCATATTGAAATTGATTCGGTTATTTCACGAACCACTGAAGTCCATCTTCCACCAACATGTTTTTTTTACTGAAACAGATGCGCATTCTAATAGTACTAAATACGAATTTTAAATATTACGGTGTAGTTGAGGTTCATTGCATGAGTAACATAAGCCCCAGGGTTTTGCATGCCACAGGATGGCGGGTTCTTGGACTAGTGATTTCAGAAACAGCACTAGAATCTTTGATTTCTTTTATTTTTATATTTATGTGCTGTATGCATCAAAATATCAATCTTAAATTCACCAGCTACAAAAATAGGATT